GCATTCAGCCATCTGACCATTATTATCGCCTCGGCGTGAAAACAATGCTCAGAGTTGGAGGTGGATGCAGGCCAGATCCCGTTGACAATGGCGGCATGTCATTAAGGACGACGTCAGTAGCGGACCGCTGACGTGTTAACTGCAGAGCGTCCAACTTTTAATTGGTTTTAAGTCACAAGTTAATTTCCATAAAGCGAACGGAAAGTGCTTGCTGCAAAAGATTGTCCCACTCAAAGTGCACAGAGAGAAACAAGTGAGGAGCATTTTACTCGAATGAGATGCATTGCCCATGGCAGATTTTTTTATTTTTATGCCCCTTTTAATGAATTTCTTCGATGCCTTCGCTCAGTGTATTTATTACTTCTTGCCCTTGGCCCGCTTGCCTCGCTTGGGCTTCTTCTTAAACGGTCCCAGGCCGCGGCGCACCATCGTGCCCCGCCACCAGGCCTGCAGCTTAATGGCGCACTCCATGCGATGCACCTGCAGGTCATGCAGCCGCTGCTCCTCGTCCTTCTTGGCCTGATACTCGCGCACGAACTCCACCCGCTCGGCGTAGACCTCGCGATGCCGCTGCAGCAGCTTCTGCTGCTCGAGGATCCGCAGCTCCCAGGCCTCTCCCTCGCGTTCCACGCGTCGCATATCGCTGGTGTAGCGCCCCTGCCAGTCCTTGATCCGCTGCCGCAGCTCGACGATCTCCTGCTGCCGGAAGGCGCGCAGCTCGCCGCTGACCCGATCCTCCCGTGCCAGGCGCTGCTTGTAGTCCAGGATGTCGCGCAGGTAGGCGCGCTCGGCGTTCTCGCCCCAGATCGTGGCCTGGGTGATGCGCCCCGCCTCCCAGCGCTGCACCAGATTGTACTCCAGGTCGTTGACCCGCGAGACGCAGCGCAGATTGTACTTGGTCTCGGCGGTGCGCTCTTCGATGTCCTTCAGCCGGGCCTGGCAGTCGCGCTTCTGCTGCTCCAGCTGCTCCTGGAGCTGCTTCAGTTCGTCCTTGGACTCCAGCAGCTGCTTGGACGCCTGCGACTCCTCGCTGTTGTTGCCACTCAGCGCACTGATGGCCTGATCCAAAGTATTTTCCTCTTTTGCTGCCTCCTCACCTTCTGCCTTCTCCGTCTCTGACCGCAGCTGAGCCATGGCTGCCTCGAAGACCGTTCGCAGGGCGTCCATGTCCCGCTCAAACTTCAGGGCATCCAGCAAGCTCTCATCCAGCTGGTCAGTGTCGTCCTCCGGCTTGCCCAGCAGCGTCTCCAGGCGTGGCAGCGTCTTGCCGGTAATCAGCACCCGCTCAGGCGGTGGCTTTGGGTCCATGGAGGAGCTGCGGCGTCTCCGCAGCGATGCGGGCAACGACAGAGGCTTCGCAGCCGTCAGGCGCTGCGCCCGCTGCTGCAGGACCAGCTTGTCCAGGGTGTCCTTGTAGCTGGCCAGCAGCAGCAGTCGCCGCAGCTCCTCCGCCTGCTCCTCGGTGTATCCTCGTGGCATGGCAACTGAGGCGGATATGTTTTATCCATGAGTTGGCAGCCAAAGGAGTATCCAAAGGAGCCACTGCACTGCACTGTTGGCCCGGCAACTGTTGCTAGGCGAAGCAGTTTATAAATGTTTGCCTTTCGATTCGCATTCGCATTTTGTGCCCCCGACCCTCTGTGCCACTGCCGCCTTGAGTCAGTCATGGAGATGGTCCCAAAGAGCATGCCGGGGGGGTGGGGGTTCCAGGCGTCGGCTTGCATATTTCATTGCTGTCATCGTCCTCGTTGCTTACGTGCAAAAATGCCGTAGCGACTGCGTCGCCGTTATTGCACAGAAATCGTTGAATTTATTTGCCCGGCTCCCTTTTCTTCTCATTCCCAGTCTCAGTCTCAGTCGCAGTCTCCTTCTCTCCTTGGTTATCCTTGGCTGTGCAGTCGTCTTGGGGTTCGTTCACTCGCTGGCATGGCACATGTAAGTATGTGCACTGTCCTGGCTCCGCTTTAACCCCGCCATGGGTGCCGGCTTATATGTTTAACCCAATAAATGCCGCGCTGATTGCAAGTTAAATTATTGGCGCGCAGCACTCCCAGACCCGCATTACAATTAAATTATCGCATTAACCGCAAAACCTGCGCCACGGCACTGCTCCTCCGCTTCATCGAATCGGTGCCCGGGCCGGGGACTTTCCACACAGCGTGCCCGCAGCGACTGTACAAAAACAAGTAGAAGCACAAGTACAGGGACCTCTTTGGCAAATAAGTTAAAGAATAGACTAGTGGATACCCTGGAAAGAGGAAAGTTTCACTATAAACTTCGAACCAATAGAGGAAATTCCTTGGAGGGCAGCAGCTCTGAGAGTTATCTCTGTTTTTAAGCTTGGAAGAGAATGGAAAAATAGGCTACTACCAAAGACAATATAACATATAATAATAATAAATAAATAATAATAATAAATTAATAATAATAATAAATAAATAATAATAATAAATAGATAATAATAATAAATGATAATATTATATTGGCTTTGCTCCCACCTTTGTTAGTTTGTGCCAAAGAAGCAGCTTGGGGCTGCGTGCTGATCTGTCCATCAGTCAGTCAGCATTTCGGACAGAGAGTAATGCATAATATATGATTGGCTGACTTAAGCCCCATAACCCCCATATATCCCATGGGTAATAGAGCATTTTAAAAGCAGCCGCAAGTGTTGGTCAATGCACTGACAAGGTCTGCGACCCGGCCGCTCTGAGAAATTGCAGGGCCGACATTAATTTAATGCCCTCCACTGTCTCGCACACATACACAGGGGTGAAGCGAAAGAGAAATGAAGTGAGAGAGAGAGAGAGTCGCACACACACAAACACATGAGGCGCGCAGCATGGGGCGCATTTCGCACTCGGCGAACGCTTCTGCCTTTAGCTGCCATTATTTTTAATAGACTCGAAAAGAAAAGTTTTCAGTTTTCTACTTCATTGACTGCAAATCGGGAAAGGAAGCTCTCGGGTCGCGAAATTCCCAAGCCATTCCTTTGCCCCCAATCCTCGTCCGTCCCTTGCTGAAGATGCCAGCCAAAATTAAGTGCCCCCAAAAAAGAGGACGCTGTGCAGCGCCTGATAAGCATACCCTCCCATATACACACACACACAGAGAGGTTGCAGCATAAAGTCATACACATAAATTTGATGCTGCAAAAATGGAACCGATGGAAGAATTTTCAATTTCCATTTAGACCCTCTGCCCCCAGTCCCTCCCACCCGCCAGCCCATCCCAGCCAATGCAAATGTTCCATTATGACAAACTTTTCATTGCATGCCAAATATCTTCTATTCGTAACTTTGGCTTTTAATAGCGCCAAGGTCCTGCCGCAAATTGCTTCCGCTAAATAATAAATATGCAAATATTGGCCTGGCCGACATGGCAGCTGGAACCTCAAAACGCTTGCCACATCCAATGCAGAATCAATCGCCGAATAGCAGAGGCGAAAAAACCCTTTCCGCAGCATGCATTTTCAATATTTTTAGCCGCCGCTTGGCGAATGCAGTGGGCGTGGCGAGCCAGCCAGCCTTTGCAGCAGGAAAAATGGCTGGCAAAAAATTCATTTTGCTTTCAAGTTTCGCCGCAGCTAAAGGTCAGGGCTGCTGGGGGGCGTAAGTGTGAGCCTAAACATGTTTCCCAGCCTGAGAGTTAATTTTGTGAAATGATGGATCCATCAATCAAATTAATTCCCAATCCTGAAACGCGTATTTCGCCGGGACTTAGGCTTAAAGTTGGTCTGGAATCCCCAGCAACTACGACTCTGCTCCACTCCACTCAGCGTTGCTACGTGGAACCGCGGAGATAACCCCACCGCACTTATGACGTGTCCCGCCCTCTCGCCCTCACGCTCTCTTCCACACGTCTCTCAACCCTTCTGGCCTACGTTTGTTATCCTGGCACATGTAAATAACCAAAAATTTTATATTGCGGCCCGCAACCACGACACCGTGACAGCACCGGCATATGCCCAGGCCGGAGCAGGGGCCAGAGGTAGAGGTAGAGCCACAGCCATAGGGCAAGTCAAGCAGGACACACCGGTAACTCTATGTGTGTGTAGCGTGTGTGTGTGTGAGTGGCAGTGGCAGTGGCAGGCACAGGGACAGTGGTCAGTGCTGTCGCTGGGCAGGAGATGGCGATGCCTGCCAGCGGTGTGTTAGTCTGTGAGTGTGCGAGTCCTTGCTGCTGTCGCTGTCTGCGGCCGGGGGAGTGATAGACGCCGCTACCATTAATTCACATTCAGGTGCCGCACGCTTGGCCGAGCAAATTTTGGTAGTGTCTGCTCTGTGTGTGTCTGCTGGGTGTGTGTGTGTGTGTGTGTGGGAGAGGAAGAGGAACAAAGTGCGACAACAACATGTGTTTACACTCATCCGGGCTGGGCTTGGGGGGGGGTTGGTCCGTCCCCTAGAAGAGTGAAGGAAGCTGCGGTCGCTCGTGCAATGCATTATAAATGCCATGCCCCAGCCCCAACTTAGGGGCGACTCTTTAGCTTTTCTTTTTGTTAAAAAGTTAAGAATTGTAACTGTAACTGACCTACTTGCCGCCTGTGTAATTAGTGGAACCGAACCCCTTGCGCTTCCCCTTGCCGGCAACAATGGAATGCGGTGGAATTCATGAGGCGAAAAATCGAAAGTTCCCCTCGCAATGCGCGGCACATTGGGCGAACCCGTAGACCCTGGCGGGTAATCAATAGCAGCCGCTGCCTGTCCTGTCCCTCTGCATGGCCAATGCCAAGCAACCACCAAAATAACTAAATAAAGGAGCCAAAACCAGCCAAGAAACGCTGGCAGCCATGACAACGTGCCTCAACAAACGAAACAAAGACACAGAGAGAGAAAGAGAGAGAGAGAGAGCACGAACACCGTGCCAGTGCGAGTGCGAGTGTAATGCGGCTATTCAAATAGGGTTTTCCTTTATAAATAGAATCGAGTGTCGCATTTATGGTAAGCGAACTGTGTCACATGAGGGAGCGTGGCTTTGGCCAGTCGAGTGGCAGCTATCAAAGGTATCGCTTCGGGGCCAGAGAGTATCAGAAATCGTTGCAGAATCAAGGATTACCTCAACAGTCAGCAGTCAGTCAGCATTATGTTTCCGCAGGCAGAGCTGGAGAACTACAAGCTGCAGGTGGAGTTGCTGCAGGAGAAACTGCAACGCAGGTGAGGGCTACAGGGGGGGTTACTGTAATTACAGCATACAAGGAGAGTACTGTACACGAAAGGGAAGACTACAATACTACAATATGTGCTGCAGCTCAGGTCACAGCAATCCTTCCTTTGAGCCAGACAGCTTAGGGATAGCTTCTCGTTTGTACCGCATTCAGACCTCACCATTTTCTCTTTATATCTATTCCATATACTCGCATTTTCCCCATCTATAAATACACACGACTAAATACATATTCCCTGTGCCACAGTGAGGATAATCGCCAGCAGTTGGAGCACAAGTTGGACAAAATACTGCAAAAGCGCAGCGACCTGTAAGTAGCCTTTGTCATATTCCCAGATATTGTGCCAAAAACCGCAACGCATCGCATCTGCCATCTGCCATCTCCCATAGCGACAAGTCCGTGCGCCACAAGAGCCGACAGAAGTACCAGGAATTTCTCGAGGAGCAGACCCTTCGCAACGAGCGGAACAGGAAGCTCGTCCATATGCTGGAGCGGATTGATGAGCAAACCGTTGCCATGTCGCAACGCAGCGAGCGGCTTAAGATGATGAAGGTACGTAAAGCCTCGCATGAACTCCAGTCCAAAAGTCAATCAATAACACAGTCCCCCTCCCCTCTCTCTCTCTCTCTGGCTCGCTCTATGCATCCCTTTGACATGTCCATGTGCAGCTGCAATATCAAATGTACTTTGCGAAATTGGTGCAGAATCAAACATTGCGTTGCATACAACAGCAGGCGACGCAGGCAACGGCGCCAGGTGGCAGCGGCGTTGGAGTTGGAGTTGCGGCAACGGGTGGTCCCATCCAAGTGCTGGTGCCACCGCAAGCAGCAGCAGCAGCATCAGCAGCGGGCATGCCAGCACAGCCAATGGCTGCAGCTGCAGCTGCTCCGCCACAATGGACCCTTGCCATGGCCACACCCACACATGGGGGCATGCTGCTGACGCCCCAGTTCGCCACGCCAAATGCAGCTGCTCCGCCTGGACTGGCTGCCATGCCCGTTGCTCCGCAGGGCCTGTACTACCCGGAGCTGTATGGGGCGATGGGCGCCTCTCCACTTGGCACCTCCAACTTGTTCGATCTGCGCGCCACATTGCGCGCCTTTGATAATGAGAATGCCGATTTGCCGGAGCGCATGACTCACTTCAATGCAGCCACATCCAGCCAGGCTGCTGCTGCCCTGACAGGTGATTATCAGGCAGAGGCGAGTGGCAGAGCCACACCGGCATCAGCAGCATCAGCAGGAGGTGGAGCAGCATCCACGACAACATCCATTTCGATGGCAGGCCAAGACAAAGGAGCGCGGCAACTGAGCAGCACATCCTCGACACTGGCAACATCCTCGTTGACATTTGATAAATTGCCAAAGACGTCCTCCTCGATGACGTTAACGGAGATGGCCCAGTCACAGCCCCAGCCACAGCCACATCCCCATCCCCATCCACTGACGAGTGCTGCATCCACTGCTGTCGATGACGTTGGCGGGCAACCGCAAATGGCAGCAGCAGCGAGGGGCCAAGAGATGCGTAGGAGCTGGAGTCGAGAGCAGGATCACGAGCAGGAGGTGGCTGATATGGCTGCCTGGACAAATTCACGCGTGACTAAAGTCGAGTATGAAAAATCACCAACTGTCGTTGGCCATAATGAGCCCGGCCAGAGACAGCCCCATCCACAGCAGCCGCAGCAGCAGCAGCATCACAATTTTGAAGCGTACTTTGGTGAGCTAAAAATCGATGAGCCCTGGCAGCCAGGAGCAACACCATCACCATCACCATCACAGTCCGCAGCAGACAAACGCCAACTAAACGTGCGTCCCGGCGGGGGGGCGAATGCAGATGTGGGCGAGGATATGTCCGTGGGAGCTAAGGTTTGCCTCACCAACGATTTGCTGGACGAAGTCATTGCCAGTCGTGCGGCACTGGCGAAAGCAGCGGCTGCGGTTGATGAGCAGCTAGCAAGAGGTAATCAATTGTCGCCGCCAGGCGGCAACAACGAACACGCGGCCACTGCCACTGGCCCTGCCCCTGCCGCCTCCAGCCTCACCTCATCCTCATCATCCTCGTGGAACCCTAGGCCCGGAGTGTCGATTGAGAATATTGAAAATGCCATTTACGGCGAACGTTTGACAGGAACTGCGACAGTAGCAGCAGCAGCAGCAGCATCCCCAGCAGCAGCCCCAACAGCTGCACCAACGCAGGGATTTTTCGAGAATTTGGTTACCAATACATCTCCGCACGAGCTGGCGGACCAACAACACACACTGGCAACGATAGAGGAGGTGCAGAGGGAGAGGGAGAGGGAGCGGCAGCCGGGGCCAGAGGTTGCCGATTATGGGCAATACGATGCCAGCAGTTATGGGGAAGCCAGCGAGCCCATATACGCCAGCATAGATTCCACCAGTCAGCAGCAGCAACAAGGGGCACCAGCAGAGCCGCTTTATAGCGAAATCGGAAATCCCACAGACTATCAGCAGTATGCAACGGATGCCAGTGTCGAGGCTGGCGCTGGCGCTGGAGCTGCAGCAGAAACAGAAACTGATGCAGCTGCAGCTGCTGGTGGGGCTGGTGGGGCTGATGGTGCCGAGGCGGACGCAATGCAACAGGAGTACTCCAATATTGATTACGGCAACTACGAGGCCGGACAGTACGCGGCCGGCTACGATCCCAATGCCTATCCGGGCTACATATACGATGAGGCCACTGGCCAGTATATAGCCGATCCCAATGCCGCTCAGTACGCGCCGGATGGCAGCTATGCTGGGCACGAGTACGATGGCAGTGCCGCAAACTACGACTATGCGTCTTACGGCGAACAACAACAGCAGCAGCAGCAGCCACAAGAGGAACTGCAACAGATGCAGGCACAGGCACAGGAGCAGGAGCAGGGACAACTGGAACAACAGGAAGCATATCCCATGTCCAGTGACAATGGCCAGAATGGGATGGAAATGGAGCAAAGCCCAGCACTGGCCATCACTCCAGCTGCCGCCATCGAGGCGAAAGTGGAATCAACCGCCGCCATCAGCAACACCACCACCACGATCGTCGCAGCCTCAAAGCCTGTCAAACCCACGTCGATACTCTCGACGACAGACAAACAAGCGGCGCCTAATGATGCGCAGCAGCAGCAGCAGCAGCAGCCGAAGAAGAAGAAGCGCGTTTATTTCGTTGACAGCAGCGAAACGGATGATAGCTCAAGCGCGAAACCAGCCCCAGCCGCAGCTTTAGCTTCAGCTTCAGGGCCTGCCCTGTCCCTGGGCCCAACTTCTGGACCACCGCCAGCAGGAGCAGAAACTGGAGCTGGAGCTGGAGCTGGGGGCGGAGCCATCGCCATCGCCACAACCACAGCCGCAGGCGGCAGCGAGAGTGATTTCGATTTTTCAACGGGCAGCGAGGCGAAGAATTAGAACAAGCTGAAAACCGTTGAAGCTCTAATTTGTTGCCATTTGGGTTAACCAATGAGCGCCCAATCGCGCGACCCATTCAAAGTGAACGAATGAACGACCGCGTCGCCTCGTCTCGCCTCGCCTCGATTTATAGCCAATGCATTTTTCACTTCACTTCCGCAACAAAAAACAGAAAAGCTGCAAATCAACGAAAGAGAGAAAGCTTCAAAGCCAACAAAAGCGACCGAACGAGTGTGGGGCTGTGCGGGTGGAAATGCTAACAAAAATAGTGGGCCAGCGGAAACGGAAATGGAGGAGACTCAATCAACACAAAAGTTGTTGCTGTTCGCAGTGGAAGGCAGCAGAAGAATTCCAACAAAATATCTGACAGTCGCTTAATTCAATTATCTTAGATGCTTGAAAATGAATACGAATATGAATAAATATTTAGTCAATCAATTCAATTTTTGTTCGCTCGAGGCATGAACAGAACAGCCTTGACGCATGTTGCATGTGTTAACAGTGCGTATACGCCATGTAGAAGGGTTACACGTGGCATTTGTGGAGTTCTAGGGGTAACTTAACTTCAAATATTTACTCTTTATCAGGGGAGTCTCTCTGCCTGTCTGTATTTTCTGTAGGAACTAGCGGCTAGAGTCTCCCAATCAATGGTTTGCAGGCAGATTCTTGTGAACCTTCAAACAAAATAATCTTTGGCAGAACTTGCAAGCTCTTTTTTTTCACCACCTGCAAGAGAAATAAATCCGCTGGCAGGGCATCCTGCAGTCGTTTTACTTGCTTAATACTTGACACATATACGCGGGCAATGGCCTGGGAAATATTTCATTAACGACATCGGTAATAAGATCAGCAGCTGTTGCTGCCAGGCCGCAATTTATCAAAAGTGCAATTGTCTTTGCAGCGGGGCACGGGCACTCAAATTACCTTTCGCTGGCTTTGCTCTGGCCTCGATGTCCTGTCCTGGTCGGTAGAAGGCTGCCAATGACACTAATTATGTGCGGCCAGGCGGTTAAAGCCGTGGCCAACAAATATGCTGATTCCTGATACGCAAGCAGACTTGCTGACTGCATGGGGATGGCCTGCTGCAGAGCCAGCTGATGCTTACTTGACCAACAATTGCCAACTTAATTGAAATTATGCCATCAGAAGTACAATGTGCCCCCTACATATACACACATAACACACACATCAACACACACACACATACTATACATATGTACGTACACTCATGTATAGACTGTGCGCGCATACTTGATATTTTTCAGTTCGTTCGCCATTTTAATTTGATTCGCAGTTAAGGCAGTGAATGCGTTAAAAAATTTACATTTTCGACTATCGGCAGCGCAACTGTTGCTGACATTTTTCCATCAATTTGAGTGGGCGAAGAAAATTCCGTTTTCGATTTACAATTGCCGAGCAAATTCCCGCGTCATCAGGGCACGGGCGTGTGATCGACAATCGCATTGGCATGCATTTTTTTCTTTATTTTTTTTATGGCCTTTCCATTCGCTGTTCATGCTACTGAACTGAACTGAAGTGTTTTCTCTCCATATTTTTTAAATAATTGTATGGAGCTTTTTTTAATTACACTCGGAGTAATTTTTTTCAACTGCCCACTGACTGTCTCGTTCTCTCTTTATTTAAATTAATTTCTGTGTGGAAAGGACAACAATAAAAATGTAATTAATACACATAATTGCTCAGTCGTTGGGGGCGGGTGCGGGTGCGGGTGCGGGGCTCATCAAGCAAGCAAATCAAATGTCAATTAATTTTTGTGGCATGGCGCATTAAATATTTATTTACTTAACCAAAGGCTACCAACTATTTGTGAATTTCCCGTCAGGTATTTCCATATTTAAAGAGAACCAATAATTGTGGGTTGGGGCGGGGCAATGTTTCAGAGATACCTTCTTACTTCTTCTGGAGGCAGTTTTTTGTTTTACTTTTTAATGAGTTGAACATTTGAAGCAGCACAAACGGAAAATGTAAACCAAAATGAAATGAAATGAAATGAAGGAGCAAAATGGAGGCGAGCCGAGACGCAAAAGGGAAACCGGAAACCGGTACAGGACAGCACAGGAGTGGTACTTTTTCAACAGAAATTTGCAATTAAATGTAACACACAAAACCTCAAAGGCAAATGGCAATATAAAACGTAATGGGCCACGTTTAAATATTCGAGCCATCCCCCAGCACAGTCCAACCAAAGGGAGAAGCTCAGACAAATTTCCAGCATCGTGTCACTTCAAATGAAATATTTGCATTGACCCCAAAAGTTTGACATCGCAAAAAAAGGTTTTAAATTCCCGTCTAATGACGATGGAAATAAAAAAAAAAAACGAAAAACAGCAGAAAGCGGAAAACAAATTTCTTATCGAGCAGCTAATTGCAGGGCTCAATTTACAACGAAAGAATGAAGCCCTAAAATAAAAGAGATTCTGTTTGAAATTGAAGCCAAGCCACTTGGATTGGCTGGCAGTCGCAAGCTAAATGTTGACTCAAAATCGATTTTGTTTCGATGTTCGTAATACATAAGTACACATGTATGTATGTATTCGCGCGCTTCCACTTCCATTAGCATAAACATCAAGCGTTTTGTCAATGGCAATATTATTTGGCTGCCAAGCCACGCCATATGTGTGTGCTGTGTGGCTGTGTGTTGGTGTGTTCCTGTCAGCATAATTCAAAAATAAATTGCAAAGCAAATCAAATCGACACCTATCGCAGGTATACGCAGAGGTATAAAGGATTATGGCTGCTCGACTTCAAACCAGATTCTGCATAATTGAGTGGCGCTTATTTATGCACCCCTTGGCATCCAGGCATCCAGGCATCCAGGCATCCAGAGAGTGCAAACAACAAGGGGGCTCTATTCTCCGGAACCCAACACTAGCACCCAAAACAGGGAAGAAAGCAAAGAAAAATATAATCAGTGTTGGAATTCAATTTTTGAAATAAAAAACGCAAATCGAAAAGCTGAACATCCAATGCCACGGAACATATGTTTGGGGCAGAGCTCGCAAAGGGTCCTACTGTATGCTGTTTCGGTGTGATGTACATGTGTGTATGTGCACACTCAGTGAAGCGGAAACAAACAAGGTAGAACATCAGCCTCCCTCCCAGCACCCCCGGCACACACATACCCGTGGCGTATGATTGACGTTTATGCAAATGACATTTTTTTTTGGGTTAGGGCAAGCCTTTCTGATCATATTTATAGAGCAGTTATGGTATGAATGAACCAGTTAACTTACTGCCAAAGGTGGGGTTGCACAGCCCACAGAGACAGAGGTATGGGAATTTTTTTATTTTAGAAATTTTCTCAGAACTAATTTGGACAAAAATAACTTAGAAGGTGCAACTTTTAAAAGGTGCCACTTGTGATTGTGTACCTTGATGTTATGGAAGGAATATATAGCTCAAAAAAGTAGACTTTCTTAATAAAAAATTCACAGATTGCAGTTTGAAAATTCTCACATAACCATACCATTTTATTTTAAATATTTACCATGGATAATGTAATGCTTTAGCACCTCAGACATGGTTTTTTTTTTTAGTGAAAATGTGTTTTTAGGCAGACTGACAGTTTGGATAGACAACGATACTGTGTGCACATACTCGTTCCACCTTTGTTTGGCGATGCACTAACAAGCCTTTGTTTGAGCTTCAAATGGTGCGTTGTCCAGGGCTAAAAATTATACGCCCACACCATAGTATATAGTATGTAGCTGTAGGGTACGAGTTCCTTTCGGTTCCTGTTCTTTGTTCGTTGATTTGACATTAACACTAATTGAAAACTGAAATGCGATATGCCACCTATCCTATCCTTTCCTATCCTATGGGCACTCCATTCTTTGCCATCGCTCCTGATTAAGTGCACGTGCAATGCTTTCAACTGTCTGTCGAATGTACATAGACTCCCCTGCCACCTTGTGCACACTGGCAGCAGCAGGGGCAGCACTGGCACTGGCGCTTTCCTGTTCAATTTCGTGCCATTTTCATGCTGAAAAGATAACAAAAGTTTGCCACACTTTTGCCGCGCTGGCAACATAGGAGTTTTGCCAGCGTTTTTCCGCCAACTTATTATTGTTTAAATATTTACATTGAAAATGGCGGCGGCAAGGGTGCGATTGTTGTTGTCGCTGCTGCTGGAGCCACCATATGCGCGACAAGTTTTGCTCCAATGTGGCTGCTACTCCTGCCGCTGCTGCTGCTGCTGCTTGCCTTTTAGGGGTGAGTTCGAGGAGGTTAAAAAAAGTTTTCAGGCCACTCCTCGTGGGCCGACATTGTCACGCAGTTGTCTGTGCGCTCCACTCTTTCTTCAGATATGTGTATGTACATGATATAGTACGAGGATGTGTACATACATATATGTTAGAATTCCATTGAGGTTTCAGATCCCTTTAGCATCTGGCATTGACAGGATGTGGCTAAAGAAGCCTCGCTTTAAACGGAAAGCCACGAACTTTGTTTAAGTTTTGCGATTAGTTCATTTTCTCTCTTGCCAAAAGGGAGAACTCTTGATGTATATATGTATATGTATGTACCGTATTTGTTACATGGTAATGCTGCTGTGCTTTCACTGGAAGGGGAGACTCGTACTTATTTGGATGATGGCAAAATGTTTTCGCATAAACATCACGTCGGTCACGTTTCACGTTGGTCCGTTACAGCTCCATCTATAGCAACAGCTACAGTTAGAGCTACAGTTGGAGCAGCCCCACTGGCTGCTGTTGGCTGCTCTCTTTTTTTTTATTGTTGAATTGCAAGCAAATGTTGGGCAACACCCAGCCAGACACGTATGACAGTTTTACTACGATGGCAAACAATGCTAATAATCATCATAATGCTTTTCAAGTGGCGCAAATATTTGCCAAGCCCATAAACATAAATCAACAGGATGTGAGGGCTGGTTGCTGTGTTGGTGTGGGGTTTCGTCCTGATTACTTATAGCAAGGAGCAAGGCGGAAGGGGGCGAGCAGAGCACTACTTACTGGGTGGGTTTAAAAATGTCAAAAGCATAAAGCCATAATATATACGATATATATTATACGTTTAGGCCTTGTCAGGAGAAGAAGCATGCTGCATGCTGCATGCTGGGGCATGGGCATGGGCATGGCATGGCATGGCATGGCATGGCATGGCATACAATTTGCAATCAGGCAAAACTAATTTGCCCAATAAGCCGCAGGCAAAGAGGTCAGAAAGGTAGACCAGAACGTACGGGGGACAGGGACGGGGGACAGGGCAAGTACAGTTGCTGGGATAATGGCACAAAATCAACTTGAGCTGATATTGACAATTCAGTGCCACAAACACAAAACTTTCAGTTGTCAGCCTCAACCAATTGAGAAATTTCCAAAATGACAGTGAAATTGATTTTCATCGATATATCTACATGCACGAGTCACTTCTGTGTATCTCTGTATGTGTGTGCTGTGTGTGTGCTGTGTGTGCTTCATATTCATATGCGAACGTGTGCTACTGGCATTCGAGTGTCCCTGACAATGGCAGCCAACCGCAATGTAATTGATGTGGATCCCTTGCTCTGCCTTCTAACTTGGCCGGAACCACACTTGTTCTTCATGTTGTTATTCATTAAAATCTGGGCCCAAGTGCTTTTGTCTCAGCCCTAGACTGGGTAGCGACAGTCCGCCCCAGAGGTCTCGAGTGGGTAACCGGCTCCCTGTCCCGGCTAATCTGCATTGTCTGCGTTTCGTAGCCGGGCAGAAGATACACATGTCGCATTGTCTGATCCCTGCAGCCTCACAGCCGCAGGAGATGGTCGCGTGATTTGGAGCCCACTCACGGCCCGAGATTTCCCATGGAGTTCTTCTTGGAGGCTTCGCAGCCAGATGGATAGACTCCTACGCTGATAATATTCTTATCCCCCCTGTATCTAGAGGCTTTGCTGGAATTTTCACTTTTATTGTTTAAGCTTTCAGCACAGATTGTGCGCGTATTATTGAAATCCCTTTTGTGTGCCTGGGGCATGCCGCACACGCCGTTACACACACCCACCCACTCGATTCCTGCACCTATGCTTACTCCACTCGCCATGTACTCCCTATGTACTCCCCTGTACTCCAGCATTTCATTGTTTCCCATTGCTAGCTCGCTTTGGCTTTGGATGCTTCACACCCAACTCCAGCTTCCAGCTGCCAGCTTCCAAGTGCGCTCCTTCGATGCTCCATCTCCTGATTTGTACAGAACAAAGCCTTGTTGCGACTGGCAAAGTTATTTGAAAGCATTGATTACATATTGATAGCGATGGCAGGCACTAAGACCTTCACCAGCGCCAAGTCAAACCAACCGCAAGCCGACATCCGAGGCTGCGAATCGCTCCGAACATACTCGTACATACCAGCAGATAACCCAGCTGCTGCTGCTGCTGCTGCGGCTGCTGGCATTCCGCCGTGCTGCTTATCCGTGTCAATTGATATTTCCTGTAACTTCATCGAATTTGGGGCAAGTGTTTCCCCTACGGATAGCAAAATGTTTATTGCTCGGGGCCAGCTTATCGCAGATGCTGGCACTGTTTCTGTGGCGCGAATTTAGTTGGCTATAGTTCTGGATGAGTATTGATACATTAATTAGCCATCCAGTGCATCATTAAATCCATCAGGCATAGAACTCCGGGCAGAGAACTCCCAGAGAGCTAATGGAATTTCCTGCAAGTACTTTGAGTTTTAAACAAAAGTGCATGCCATTGATTGTTGTTTTGCCAGGCTTTAAGCTGGACTGCCACGTGTGCATTAAAGAGGTGGGTGTCCATGGCAACCGCCATGGGATCCGCTTTGCGGATGCCTGAAGAGACGACAATGAGTGAGCCTTGGAAGGGTCTGATGCCGCCTGGTCGGGAGCTCTGTACTGGACTGGTCTGTGGTATGAGATGGATGAGTTTGCATTGCAATTTAATGCGCAATGGCCTTCCGGATATCCGTTTAATGGCCATGAATACATAAATAATAAAATTGTATTTGTTTATTGCACGCAGCCAACGCAGAAACATACACACACAGATACAAAGACAGATACAGACAGACACGACTCTTACACACTGAATTTATTTACCTTTGCGAATAAAATATATCCATACTCATATATATTTTAATTTTTTTTATTTGACTTAATGCAATTTAAACAATATACAATATACGATATATTTTACATATAGTAAAAATGATAAAAGTCAATGGAAAAAACTATATATTCAAAGGCACGCCACATACTCATACTCACACTCCACTCACATACTCGTTTATTTATTCACATATTGACTACAATATTTGTGTGCCTCGAGCAGAGATTGCCTATTATTATGGGTGGGTACTGTGTGTGTGTGGCATGGATGAGGACTTCCGTTTTCCTGTGGCTTGTTAAAAATTATTTAATTTTATTTAATTTAATTTTATTGTGTGTTCAATTGTTTGTTGCGGCTGCGAGGAAACAATAATCCAAAGTCATTGTTACATCCCTGCCGTGCATAATAAATGAGAATCATGCACGTTGCAAGAGCACTTTGCTGTGCACCGTGCTGGTTGCATAGCTATTTCCACTGTCCTTCACACAGGGGGAGAGTGTGTGTGTGTGTGTGGGGAATGGGATCCACTCTCCACTCTCGAGCTGGATCAGAATATGCAGCTGGAGAAAATTAAAAATGCCATTGGCATGGCGCCCTGGCCCGGCCCGTCCAGCATGCAAATACATGTCCCTGTCATAGAGTTACACAAAGTGCTTAATCAAGCTTAAAAGAAAAGGACTCGAAAAGAGCCACATGCACAGCCAAAGTAAAACAAAAAAAAAAAACGAACCCAAACCCCAGACCCAGCTCCAGCTACAGCCCCAACCATAGATGGGACGGTGAACGAATACGAGCACGGTACTCTCATTGACTGTGCAAAGTGAAGTGAAGTAGTTAAAAATTAAAAGGGACACTTAATCCAGTCAATGTCTTGCCGTCGCGCCGTCGCATCCTCGCATGGCTAAGTGAAATACCAAACCCAACGAGGGACGGGATTAGCAGGTTTGCTGCCATCGTGGTCTGAGGGTGTTTTCATTTGATTTGCCCATGAATGGGGCCATGGGTGGTGGTGCATACATACATACATAGGTGGTTGGGTTTTATGGGGAAATGTTTGCACACAAGAAGTGCAATTATGTGCACAAAATGGAAAATGAAGCAAGAAAGTGGAGCAATTGAAAGCGACAAATGGAGCTGGGGTTGGAACTGGTACTGGCACTGGCGCTGAAGATTGAAATGCACATGCAATTGCAATGCAAAGGATAGCGAAAGAGGAGGGACACACACATACACACACACACACACGAACATTGCTGATTGCCGGCCAAGACAAAAAACAATTTAACCCACATTTGCATGCAAAGGAAAATGGATATTACCAGCGCTATGATGTGGAAATGGGATAGGGCACTCGGATAAAGATCTTCTATGGCCACAAACCACCATAGATCATCTGACTAATTAAAGGAATGTGCTGCACATTACCTGATTGGCCCCCCCAACTTTATTTCAGTTCCTTTGGTTCTGTTAGACATGGAGGGTCGTCGTCGTCGTCGTCGCTGTGTGCTTTCCGCAGCTCGTCCCTACATGCTGATATTTTCCGTGTTCGCGCTGACGCCGCCGCCCAACTTCTTCGACAGGACCACGAATCAGCGTCTGAGGCGGTACTCGATAGTGGGCTATGGATTTTATTCGCTCTTTATCCTTGGCATTCTCATATGCATGTCCTATGTGAGTGTGCTGGCCCTGAACGAGGAAATCGAACAGTACAGGCTGGAAGATTTCACCAGGGCCATGGGCAGAGTGCAGAAGATTGTGCTGATCATCATGGGCATTGTGAACCAACTGAATATGCTCCTGAACTACCGTCGACTGGGCCACATCTACGAGGATATGGCAGACCTGGAAATGGAGATAGACGATGCCTCCCAGTGCTTTGGCGGGCAGCCGGGGCGCAACAGTTTTCGGTACCGTTTGGCCATCAGCTGCGGCCTGTGGCTGGTCCTGCTGGTGGGCTTGATGCCCCGAATGACGCTTCAGGCCATGGGCCCATGGGTGACCTTTCCCAATAATATTCTCTCCGAGCTCATTCTAATAATGTTGCAGCTCAAGTGCTTGGAGTATTGCGTGTTTGTGGTGATGGTCTATGAGCTGGTGCTCCGCCTGCGCCACACTCTGCGGCAGCTGCAGTCAGAGCTGGCCGACTGCAATCAGAGCGACATGCTGCAGGCCCTGTGCGTGGCTTTGCGACGCAATCAGCAGCTGCTCGGCCGTGTCTGGCGACTGGTGGGTGAACTGGAGCGATACTTCACGCTGCCCATGATGTTTCTGTTCCTGTTCAACGGTGTCACCATCCTGCACGTACTTAACTGGGCTTACATCAACCAATTCAATCCGGATGATTGTTGTCGCTATGGTAGTGTCTAAAGCCTCTCTCTCTCAAGTATCTATGCCCTCAGATGTATATCTCTTGTTTCCATAGTGAGAATCGGCAACTGTTTGCTGCTGCTGATCAATCCTCTGGTGGCGTGCTTTCTCAGCCAGCGTTGCATCAATGCCGTGAGTATTTCCAACTGTATGCTGAGCTCCCCTTAACTTCCCCTGCAGTACAATAGCTTTCCACGCACCCTCCATCGGATGCGTTGCCTGTCTGTGGCAAACAACTTTCCCATACTATCCATGGGCCTGCGGGAATACTGCCTGCAGCTGCAACACCTCCGACTGCTCTTTACCTGTGGCGGCTTCTTCGACATCAATTTGCAGAACTTTGGAGGGGTATGTCAACACTTAGTGTAGATTATCTAGTGCTTGCTGCTAATCAATCTTTTAATCTTTCAGCTGGTTGTCACCATTCTGGGCTATACAATAATTCTTGTGCAATTCAAATTTCAGGCCGTTGCGGAGGAAAACGTTCGTAACGGCAGCAAAAGCTCTGCACCTTGAGCTTTAAGCTTCAACCATGTAGATTACATGTCATGTACATGTACATTTACACTACATTTTATCTACATGTGAATGCTATAATTTAAAACAATATAAACACTTGTTGTATAATTTACGTATATTTGAAGGGGGGGGGGGGGGGGGGGTACTGTCCAGCGTCGTTAGCTCGGTATTGGCCTGCCCGAGAAGGGGACTACGCCACTCATTTTTGTTTCATTTATCATAAATTGTGTGTATATAAAGTACATATGTTTGTATATCTAACATTTCATGTTTCATCGATAAGTTGTACTCACAATTAGTTTTTAGTTTAGTTTAGTTTAGTTTACTATATACTGGTAATTGCGACAATCATCGATCAACTTAGGGGTAAATGCTCTTACATGCTATATTCGTATTAACCTACTGCCAAATATCTGCCCACCTAGACCCGTCTACAGTGCTCCGATTTGTACCACTAATTAATAAGTCTTAGGTCTAATACATTGTAGAGTCAGTTGTCAGTTGGATCAGTTATTGTATGTACTTCGCTTGGATGCGATACAGATTCAGTTACAGATTCAGATTCAGTGTTGATAACTTCATTCAATTGATATATAATCACAGACTAAATAACTGGAATAACTTTCGGAAGTATTTTGTATACATATAAATTTAACTATCATTGTGGGAATAATTAACTAATTAAAATGCGCCAGCAAAACAGTGCTTGGGGCCACTCAAAATACCATACCAGCATACCAGCATACCATCATACCATCATACCTAATCTATTGCCAACAAACCAATTCTAAACAATTCTCAACGTGACTTTTTAACAGACATATTTGCACTTAGTTCTAGTAATTATCTCAGTGATTGCAACACATTGCCACTGGCAGTTACATTTCGAGTTTCAATTGTGTGTATGTGTGTGTGTTGAATATAAAGCTCCATTACAGTTACAGTTCATAATAACGATTGGTGTATAGGTATATGTATATAAAAAAACATGTGTGTGTGTGTGTGAAAGGACACTGCTGGTCTTACATATCTAGGGGCTGCTTACACATAACTCTCTCTCTCTCTCACTCTCACTCGAACTCTCTTCTCTAGAATTAATCTATTTAGTACATAGTTGGGGGCTAGCTACTCAAAACAGGTCCATGTTGTCGTTCATATAGCTTAACAGATAGTACAAATAAATAAAAAGACACACTGTAGGCAGGAGATAATTCAGCAGTAGGCTAACTATTATCCCGTCCCATGCTTCCCGTTCTCGAACAGGCCCTTCTTGAAAAAAGACGACAGCTGGACGAGGGATGCGCGCGTGAGGCCCGGCCCCCCGGGTCCCTCATATATCGGGCATTGTGGTATCTTTGAGCAGACCACAAAAAGTCGACGCAAATACAGCTCCAATAGGCGTCGCCGATGCTTCGCCACTGGCTCGCTGTTCGACGCAAACAGCTCACGGCGTGGAAATGGTAGTGCAGAGATCTACAGCGGGAAACGGCGAATAATGTAATTAAATTGTATGCCTGTTTAATTTATCACACGCTACCTTGGCTCCGTAGCAGTGCTTCATGCATAAATGCAGCTCCCGGAAGCGACTGTAGCGACGCAGAATGTTCAGTTTGCCATCGGGCAGGGCGATGCGCACCTCGTACTCATAGTGCGTCTGCTTGCCAGCTCCACGCATCACAAAGGAGGGTATCGTGATGAAGTGGTCGCCCTCAGCAGCTGAATGGGAGAGTTACAAGAACACAATAAAGGCCAGAACGCCACAGAAGAGGGACAGACGTTTGCTACTTACGAAACTCCCGCATGGATGGGCAGGATCTTGTCATGCTGGGTGGATAGATTTGCGATGTGGACTCCTCCATGCTGGTGGGACTCATCACGCTGGATCGCATGATGGAGCTGGCCAGCTCGTACTGGCGCTCCATTCCAGACCGCTCATCGGCACAGCACATGGCGTGCGCCTCCAAGTCCTGCACAGTTTGGAGCATTTCCTGCTCCATTTGAATGTAGCGTCGCTGCAGATCCTGCAGATCGGCAATTTGCTCATCCAACTGGGCCTTGTTCAGGTCCGTTTCGAGGTTCTTCATGATCAACGCCTTCTGGGCGGCAATCTTGCGGCGCAGCGAGTGCAGCGGACAGTAGGGACGCGACATATCCGAATGCCGGCCCAGCTCGCACGAGGAACAGGAGCCCGTATCCTCGTCACTGGTGCGCACGCTCTGTTTGTAATTGTTGAGGTGTCCGTTCTGGAGCAGCGCCTGTGTTTTGCTGTCCAAGCACACGCCACTGTCGCTCATGATTGCCTGCGAGCTGGGCGTTGCACTGGGTGCACCACCTCCGGTGCTGGTGGTGCCACTACCACTGCCACTACCACTGTTGCTGCTTGGGCCGGCCGTGCAGGTGCGTGAGGCATCTTCGCTGCTGCCTGAAATATCGTCATCCTTGCGTGTGTCCTCCGCCTCATCCTCTGCCTCGCAGGAGCAGTTGCTCAGCGGCGTCTGTTGGCCCTCCGTGATGGTTGGCGATGAGACAAGCGAGAAGTTCGATTGGGCGGTGTGGAAGGTATCACAGGTCTCGTAGGTGTCCGATTTGGACACATCGTCTGCTTCGTTTGTGCTGGTCGAGGTGGACATGGACATGGACTTGTTGCTGAGCTGCAGTTTCATTGTCTGCTTCCTGGCGCGCATCGCCTGCGCCTCTGCCTCGCTCTCGGCGCGCTCCACGCGCAGTCGTTCCAATTGCGCCTGAATTTCCAGCATGGTCTCGTCCACTTTGGCTATTTTGCTGGTGCTCGCATTGAGAATGCGCTCCTTTTCGGCTATCTCCTCGTCCAACTTGCGAATTTCCTCATTCTTTAAAGGCGTCACATCATTATTTCAAATTGTTTTAGCTGCATTTTGGCATTCATTTGGCAACTTACATTTCTCCGTACAGTGTCCTTGATAAATTGAGCGGCAAACAGATCCAATGAATCGGAGACCTGCAACAGCAGCTCATCATTCAGAGGGGTGCCCTCCTCGATCTTCATGCCCATCTATGGGGCGGGGGGGAGGCAATAACAAAATTTATATTAATATTTGAGTGTCTCAGTGTTGCTTGTTCTACAACTAAATCTACTGTAGTGCTAGGTGGTAGGCAAACTAATTATAAAATAAACAAAAAACAAAGCACAAACCTCATCCAGTTTGCCACAATCTTGCAGTTCCTGCAATTCTTTCGCTACATACTCTGAGAAATCGCGTTTCTTAGAGTCGAGCTGCGTCTGAAACGCTGAAATTTGTCTACACACAATGTCGATCTAAAACGAAAATGGAACGAACGTAAAAATCATAAGGAACACAAGCCAAAAACATAGTAAATGATAAGCACACAAAGAGATGGAGAGAGAGACGAGAGACAGGCACATAGCAAGCACACAAAGAATCAATCCATGCATCGCAACATGCAACAGTGGTAGTAGTGGTGTGGAGGATCCGTGAGACGCACCTGAACCTTCTCGTTGGTCTTCTCCCACAGCAACATATCCTTGCGGGCAACCAGCTCCTGCTCACGGCAATTCAATATCTGCAGGCCATCCATTTCCTCCTGCTCCAGGCGTATCAGCTCTTCCGTCAGCTTCCTCACCTTCGTCTTGTACTGGTCGTGCATCTGAACGCGTTCCTATAAAGACAGAATAAAGGATAAGTCCCTACATGGTTTCACTGCATTCTCCCCAGCATCCACTTACCACATTCAACTGCTTGAGGGCATTCTCAATGGTGTCGAGTATCTTGCGATTCTCATCCTGCAGCTCTGGATCGTCCCGCGACATGGGACGCTGTGGATAATACTGCCGTTCGGGGCGCTTATACGGCGATGCACCATCCTCGTCCGAGTAAATGCTGCACGTGAGCAGGTTCTCCTTCGAGGAGGTAATCAGCGACAGTCGCGACATATCCAGCTGAGATCGACTCAAGTCCTTGCGCAGTTTGGCCGCCTCGGCGGGATTGTTGAACCGAAAGATATTCGTGCGGCCCAGCAGTATGATGTCGCCCTGCGAGATCTGCTTGGGTTCGTCAATCAAATGGGCATTCACCCAGCACTGGGCCAGGGGCCAGGGATGCAGCGTGACCACGCCTCCCTTCAGCACAATGCTGCAGTGCTGTGCACGGATGCCATCGCCCGCCAGCTCGATATCCTGCGCCAACTCCGCATCCTCGGTGCCGATGCGTGTCTCGCCCTCTTTGAGGCTGTAGAGGGTCACTCCGGTGGTCACATCGTTGTGGATGCCAATCAGATGCGGCATCTCCGAGTCGAGTACCACGCCCACACCGGACTTGCGCAGACCCAGACTCTTTTGCTCCTGCAGTATGGACTGGGCCACCTTCCATTTCTCCGTCCACTCCTCGGTGAGCACTTTCTCCTGGGCCTCCTTCTTCTGCAGATCGGCCAATACCTTCAGCGATGGCTGCAATGATTGCTGCAATAAAAGACGAATCAGAACTACTGCAGTACGGCCAAATCTTCTGACTTACAGTGTCACCCGTCAGCATCGACTTGAGCTTGTTGATCTCCTCTCTGAGCTCGCGTATCAGCTTCACATTGGAGTCCTCATTGACTGTGGGCTTATTGATGATGTTCTTCGCTCGATTGGCGTACCGCAGTGTGCTCAGCGTTTCGCTGTAGTTGCAGTCCGCTGGGGAGAGGGCGGCAATCATGATTGTCTTGCTGTTGCCACCCAAACTGTCCTTCAGCAGCCACGTGAGAATGGAGTCGCGATAGGGTATGTACAGCACTCGCTTGCTGGCACTATTGGGGGTTGTGGCCAACGTGGAGTTGTTGTGTGCGGCGCTCGTCTGCTCCGCCAAAGCGGATATGACGCTGCCCAGCGTCACCAGCGACTTGTTGATGTGTGCACCCTCCTTCAGACGCTGACCCGTCGCACCCGTTGCATTGGCACGCTCACTGCAACCACAACAAAAAGAGGAAGAGGCAAAGACATTAGTGTGTGTGGAAATTGC